TTTTTTTTTTAATTTGCTAACCGTAACACAGCAAGCAAATTAAACTCAGTCAAAATGAAAATTGAGAATAATTCTCTGTTATTTTATATGTTACATTATAGTATAACATAATTATTGTGCTTATCTAAATGCTATTATGTATACATCTATTTTTAATACATCAGTTGAACCTACAATAGCCTATTGCAGGTTCAAATGATTTACTCTATTGTCAATAAGACATACTTTACAGGTTTTTACACGTGTACTAATATTTATTTTTTTCACTGATTAGTCTCCAATAATTAATTTTATTTACCTCTAACAAAAAATATCGAAAATAATAAATGAGTTCTCTTAATTTAAGAGTACTCAATATTTTACTCAAATTACCCTTTTGCTCTTAGTTAAAATAAAAACATTATTATAATTTTTTAATTGTATTCTTAGTATTTGAAATACTTTTGTAAAGTAATTGAGTATTACTCAAATACTTATGTATGAAAAGTATTCAAATAGTATTTTAAATACATTTTTTTAAAAATATTTGAATATTATTTAAAATACTTTTTAAAAGTATTTTTTACAACTATGATTATATTTTAAAATCAAAGAACTACTAATCAGGATATAAATTAAGAAATAAGAGTTGATTTTGCTTTTGGAATAATCCACCAATTTCCTACTTTAAAAAAAAAAAAATTTGGTTGGGAATTTTTTCTGTTATTCGCCAAAATTACTCCTTCGTTGACTAGAATAAATCATTAAATAGAAAATTTTATGAGAATTAAAACAATGTTATTTTTAAGATTAATATGTAGTCAGGAAACTTTATAATTACTATCTACAGTATATTTATCAGAAAAACTTATTATTTTTTTGCATTTTTATCGTAATAGAATACTTAAATAGAAATCATAATATCATTTCTAAGTAATTTTTGGTATTTAAAAAGATTCTACAATTGAAATATTCAGAACTAAATTAATTTTAATAATTTACTTTAACTAAAAAAAAAAAAAGTTATTATTTTGAATCCCTTTTGTGGGTAGGTAAAGGGTTAGATTTATAAAAAAAAACCAAATGATAAATAAAGACATGCATTTAAATAAAAAAAAAATATACTGATTCGGCCATTTTTGATAAAGTTATAACAGTTAACATAGTTATAAGTTTTATACATTGTACTACAAGGAACTTTCATCAGAAACAAAAATATACTATTCTAAATCATCTTTTTGCGATGTTTTCAAATGTGCAATTAGACTTTTTCTATCACTTCTAAGTTTTAATATTATTAAAAAATAGTATTTACATATAAAAAAAAATAATTAAGAACAAAAAAAATCGTTTTAAATTAATACTGATTTTGATTATTAATAAGTTAAGAATAAGGAAAATGACATATTTACCTATTTTTTTAATCGTTTAAAGTTGATTGTTGTAAATGTTTATAATAAAAAAAAAAATTTATTTTACCATAACTTTTAGCTCAATTGGTAAGTTTGACATTAACATCATTAAATAGAAAATTTTATGACAATTAAAAAAATTGTATCGTTAAGTACAATATGCAGTCAGAAAGTTTTATAATTACTATTTATTGTAAATTTATCAGAAAAGCTCAATATTTTTTTGCATTTTTATGGTAATAGATAACTTAAATAAAAGTAATAGTAATAATTTCCTATAAATTGTAGTCATTTGACGTATCGTTGAAAAAAGTAGGTCAAGTTAAAGCAGAGNTTTGACGTATCGTTGAAAAAAGTAGGTCAAGTTAAAGCAGAGAAAATAAATAATAGTCACAAAAATATATCTTCTCAGCTTTGCATCGAAGCTAAAACTTAAAATATAGTAAAATAATTTTAATACGAATAAGAAATTTTTTCTTACAAGGGGCGACTAAAATTATGGAATCCTTGATCTTTATTGAAGTTATTCAATCTAAATGAGATAAAAATCAAACGAGTTAAAAATTTATACTAACTTAAAAAGAATTAATAAAAAATGCAAAAAATTCATTGCCATACGTGGGTTGGAACCTCGTACCCCAAGCGTGTAAAACATAACTTTTACCAACTCGGCAACCGTACGTCGATGCCGTCGGATGAAAAAATTGGTTATTTAAGCTATTTCAAACTTCAAAGTTATTTTTCTCGACTTAAAAGAAGCAAACAAATTTAAATAAGTTTAACTTTCTATGCTATATTAATTTTTCATTTATATAATATTTATGAAAATCTGTACTCCCCTTGTCAGGTATTTTAAAATAAAATAAAATACAATACCCAGAATTTTAACACAAAAATAGCAAATTTTTGAATACGGTAGTCATTTTTACAAAGAAGACAAATCCAGAGGTCAAATTTTTTTTTTCAAATTCAAGTATATTACATAAGGTTTAATTTAAGATATATATAAAAGTGTCAGTCTTTCCAGAACATTTTCAAAAGTTATATTGAAAAAGTTATTTTTTTTGTGAAAAAGTTGTTATTTTAAATACCCTTCTGTGGGCAGGGAAAGGGTCAAATTTATAAAANTAAGGTTTTAGTATAAAAAAAAATTATGTTGATTTGTTGATTTTTCAAAAAGTTATGGAAGTTTTAAGAAAAAAAAGTGAAAAAATTTCGAAAATTAGCGATTTTTAAATTTGTAATTTTTTTGGAGGTTTCCCCCATTTACGGGGAACGAGTGAAATTTTTTCAATTTTTGAGGGTAATGTCTTCAACTAGATACGATTTGTGATCTTTTGACATATTTTTCATTAAAATCGGTTCAGTGAGAGCTGAGATTGAGCGTATACAGACACAAAAAAAAAAACACATAGTAAAATTAATACCTTCTCAGCTTCGCATCGAAGCTAAAAA